TGGCGCTGTCGGCGACTGCGGCTGACGTGAAGGTGCTGCTGCAGCGAGCTACCAACATGCCCACAGCTAAACAGAAACTCCACTACGAGGTATTGATAGACTATACTAATATCATCATCATCATCCTTATCCTACTCATGTAGGGTCGGCACAACAGGTTTATGTCCTCCATATAATTCTATCATACGTCATCTCAGTCATCACTCCCTTCTTGATCATGTCACCTTTCACGCAATCCATCTCTTTCTAGGTCTACCTCTACCGGTGTACCTCCACACTCATAACTAACGTTCTCCTTGTAACATGCGATTCATAATCATTCATCAATTATAATGTGGAAAGATTTGTATTTTTGTATGTATTGAAATAAATTAAAAACTACTGGGCCCATTTCAAATTTCAACCATTAAAGAGCTAAGTAATTAAAGAGCGAAGTAAGTAACGTAGGGTATATTTTTTAATTTCACGCGGACGAAGTCGCGATCAACCGCTAGTATACTTTAAGACTATTGATATTTCCTTTATTGATTTGTATCCTTTTAATGTTAATAAACCAGAAACCTGTTTAACTGTACTAAATGGGGGTGGCCAGGCAGAAGGACGCCAGCTCCCTTAAAGTCGAAGAATTTAAAAAAAAATCATAAAAATATTTCAAATGGAATAACATAAAAGCTGTCTCCTGTTTTCCCTCCTAATTCTAGTCTAGATCAAAGAGACTCACATGTTAAATTACGAAATTGATTCAAGATTAAATATTCACTTTGGTCGTAATATTTGTTCCTAATGAGATTTTTCTCGTTCCAGGGTCTATTCTTCAAGGATACGAACACCCTGGCGTATTACAACGTGCCGCCCGGCGCCGTCATACAGCTGCAGGTCAAAGAACGAGGAGGTCGCAAGAAATAGCACTATAACTAGTGCTGCCATCTCTTATTAATATCGTAACAAAGGACAACTATACAAGTGCTGCCATCTATTTGTCTTGTAAAGAAACTATATGTCTTAATTGGTTATTTTTGAGGAATTTCGGTCTACGAATACTTTTGAAATCGTTTCCTTAACGTCGACAAAATTTGTATAATATTTGTGCTGCGGTGTCAGGCTTAAAGTAAAAGAAATCTCATACAGATTTTGTCAATGTTAGAATATATTCTTGCAACTGTCACGCTAATCGTGATAAGTTCAGGTTTCAAATTATAATTAAATATTTTCATATATTATGTAGTATGAATAAAAGATTGAATTAAAAATGGCTTTTAATTTGAATAATTTAAAATCCTCATTCCTTTATCCCAACCAAATACCACCAGCATGAAAAAATATTTTATTTTTAAGTGGAATATTTTTTTCCACTTTCGTAACCTGCCAAGTTTTTGATATAGCAAATACCGAACAAAATGTACCGAACTGGTTAGTTAAATTTGGTTAGAAACAAGGGATTTAAAAAAAAACTAATACACAACTTTTACGAAGTAACTTAAATGTAAGGAAAAGTCGGGATATTTGAAAAGAAAACAGCCAATTTTTAAAATATATTTATTATAATTGTGAGTCGATAATTATAAAAGTGTACAAAAATTTATAATACATATCTATTTTACGTCAAAATAGCGAATTTAGCACCAGCTCTAATTATTGAAAAATACATTGATATGTTAATTTCTTTATTTCAATAACATTTTTTACTGATGATTTTAAAATATAAAATAATTTTCTCATGGTCTATGCTTCTCATTCTAACTGTTCTTTACTATATTAACCGTTAATTGCATGATGTTTTATTTAATTACGAAATTAAAATTTCAATATGGGTTTTGAGTCACAGATTATGAAAAGTAATTTAAAAACTCTTGGTTTCATACACTTTTGTTCGTAGACTTTTGGCAACAATATGCATTTAAGGATTAACAAAGTATTTAACACAATTTTCTATTGAAATGAGACCAGTTTTGTTATCACAATTGTCACATAATTGAAATTTGTAAATCATAGCTGATATTAAGAAAAATTGTACATTTTAACAAAACGTCTTTTAGTCAATATTTCGCTTTAAAGAAAAAAAACTTAAAAACAGATTAACAAAAATAAAGAATGCGACAAAAAACAACAAAATCTTTTAACAAAATAAAAAAGTATAAAAAGTCTCTATAAAAAGGAATGTTTTAAGAGATCTGTGATTTTTAGATTTCACTGGAATATAAATTGAGAATTAAACATAAATGTTTAGGGAATTGTAAAAAAATAATTATTTATTACATTAGTTAAAAAAAAAACTTTAATCAGATCATCCCTGCGTTAAGTCAAACTTAACATTTTTAAGTAAAAAAATTGCACTTATAAAAACTTCCTTAAATTAAATGGAATGCAATTTTGCTATATATAAAATATTTTTTATGTTTTTATGTTGATTTTTTAAATTGTATATTTGGTTCTACAATTATTGAATAACAGGGGTGTTTAAGCTGAGGCCCGCAGTGTAAAAAGTGCTGATTTTTTATACTTTTAAAATTATTTTTTGTATAAACTAATTGCACTTAATTGTGTAACTTTTTTATGTGTTACTGGAAGACTATATTATACATCTGTTTCCACTGACGAAACATTTACAAAAACATGTTTTTAAGAGGAACGATAATGTTTTTTCACATGTAAATAGACAGGGTCTATACAATACACAACATTCGGATTATTATTTCAAAATGTTAAGTCTACGTGAGTTTTATAAGCGTTTATAGACGAATTCAGATGAAATATGAAATTTCACATGAGATAGTTAAATTTTACCTTTTTGTTTATATTGAAAATATTAAAAAATCTACTTTTAGTAGATTTAAAAAAAAAAACCATTGGATTTTTTTTTAATTTTGCGCAGTCGATAGTAAAATTTCTCATTTCTTGAATTAGACTACATTTCTATGATATGCTAGTTTATTGCAGTTTAGGTATATCTTGTATCATGCGGCGGTACCGGGCCAGCATGGGGGTGTATATCTTCTCGCTATCAGGGTAGGGGGTGGCCACGGGCGTTAATGTCGGTTCCGAGCCTAATAATATTTTCTTAAAGTTAAGTATATTCTTAATAGCATAACAAAATAGTAGTGTAATCTGATTTTCATTACCATTTTGCGAACTTGGGGATTTTATATAGAGTTTTTTTTAGAATAAGATAAGAAATGAGCAAAGCGGACGTCCCATAGACATCCTCATTTGGAAGAGGAAGGATAACTTTTCTGTCTTTAAAGAAAGAAAATTTTCCTCATCTATTGCGTCCCATCCCCACCAAATTCACATTCCCTTCCCATCCTTTTCTGATACAAAAAGGGAGTAAAGGGGAAGAGAACTAAAAGTAATCCTCCGGCATAAACATTTCTAGTTCACAGTATAACTTACCAGTTAAGTTAACTCCGGTAAGTTCGCTCCACACTTCCGCAGCGCGTATCGCGGCCCCGAGCAGCGCCGCGTTACCGTGCTCCTCCTGGACAATAAATACATTTAATTCTCTCTATATAAGATCTCATAAAAATCTGACCAATATTATAAATGCGAAAGTTTAGATGGATGGATGTTTGTTAAAGTTTGTAGTTTAAACAGGTGAACGGATTTCGATGAAATTTGGTATAGATGTAAAGGATAGTTTGGAAGAACACAAACTCTACTCACTTTTGCTTTTTTAATTCCACGCGGACGGATTCGCGGGCGAAAGCTAATATAGAATAAATCTATAATAATGTAATAAAACGTAATCACACAGTTTATTATATAGGATATCAGTAATCGGAGCATATTAAAAAAAAACATTTTTTTTATAAATAGCCTTACATTAGCGACACGTTATAGGCTATAATTCAATCTTAATATCAATCAATCAATATAAAATTTAGGGGTGAATAAATAGGGGAAAAAACCCAATGCAAGAAAGCGACAAAAACTACAAGTTAAGAACAGCAAAGGAGCTAACGACAGTAGTTAGACAATCGTTGCCATTAAAAAATGTTAATTTTGATTTTTTCAATCGAAATGAAAAAAATATTAAGTTTTACATAGATTAATGCGGATGAAGTTAAATGGGAAATGCTAGTGATTTAATAATTCAATAACTTACCTGTACATACACAGGCGTGTTGAAAACATCAGCGAAGATCTGCAGCAGCTCCTTGTTGACGGAGGCGCCGCCCGTCGCCACCACACGGGACGACGACTCTGACAATATACACCACAATCACAACAATTGTTATTAACAAACACCAAAAATATATTTACAAGCTTATTTTTCTGAGCATTCGTCAGCTCATGATACATTCCTGAGGAAATTGGAGCCTACCCTAAGTAAGCCCTAGGCATTAGTGAACGCTGGCCGAATGCGGGTTAAGTTAATACTTATCATTGAATTTCTTCGCAGATTTGCGTAAGTTGCAAATATTTTCCATAACCATAAGAATGTCAGATATGTAAATATGAAAATAAAAAAAAAATTGGTACATATCGAAGCCAGTAGATATAAATTACAAGTCAACGAAATATGTGAAGCTTTCCAGTCACGTGACATAATTTTTTAGTAATGTTTGTTACAATAATTATTAAACTAAGTCTGTTTCGCTGACCTAGTTGGAAGCCCATGTCCTCGGCGTGCGCGCGGCGCGCGAGCGCCTGCCCCTCCAGCAGCGCGCGCGCCTCGAACTGCGGCGGAGGGCGCTCCGCCCCCGCGCCCGCCCCCGACACCACCCAGCGCCCCGCCCCCGCGCGCGGCACTATCTCCGCCGTCTCGTAGTAGATACCTTCACGTACACATCACAACTTCAATCAGCTGCCATTTTATTTATTTATTCTTTTGCACAAAAGTTAAAAAACATATACTTAAAGACAACAGGCAAGGGCGGCCTTATTGCTTTAAGCAATTTCTTACAGGCAACTTAGTGGGACAGGAGTAGCTAGCAACAACATAAGGGTATTTTGAATATATTTTTTTTACAATATTCAAACAAAAATTTTCTTCCACTATCGTTAAACATTTTTTGTTCAAACTACACTCCTTAAAGCGGTATAGCAATATTATTACAATATAAACAATACATTAAAGACAGCGTTACACAATATTAAATGCCCAATAAACGATTTTAAATTAGAAATTTCATTTTTTTTATAACATAAGATGGCAAACGAGCAAGCGGCCACCTGAAATCACCAAAATGACGAGGCTACCGCTGCCCATAGACATCCGTACTTGCAGATGCGTTGCCTACCCTTACACGACTGAGGAGGAGACGCACATAAAGAGGATATTTCCCCTTCCAATACATCTCCTCCACTATCAAATCCACTTCCCCTTCCCAACCTCTCTTTATAAGAAAAGGGTGGTAAAGAGAAAAAGACTTAAATTAGGCCTCCGGCACCACACTCATCAGACGAAACACGGAATTGCTTCCATTTGACGCCTGTCTTCTGTGTGGTCGTGGTATTACTGGGGGTGTGCCGGCCCTGCACTGCTAACATGTTAAAGCGGGCACTACCACTGATATATATATAAAAACAATAAACATAAAGCACTTCAGGCCATCCCTTCTGAAGTAGTTTCTAGCATTAGTAAATTGTTAAAAAGTCATTGGTAGAACACTTACCCATGTAACCCATATTTCCTCTAACAGTGGCTCTGAGCAGTTCACTGAAGGCGTCCCAGCTGTCTCCAGCGAGGCGGTCGCGGTGGAGCTGGCGCGTCAAGGAGCCGTTGGCGAAGCAGAGTAGCGCCATGTAGGGTACCTCCGCAGTCGGCCCCACCAGCACGTGGCCGGCGGGCGGAGCACCCGCTGTGCTCAGACCCAGCAGCAAAGTATCGCTGGTTCCCAGGCTGAGCCCCACACACCCAGAACGGAGGCGAAGCCCTACAGAAGGCTTGTATAATACGTAAAGTGAAAATGTATTCCTTTTTAAGGAAACCGGATCATTGTGACATTTGACACAGTTAACGAAATTTAAATTTTTGTGAAATTCAAGTTAAAACTAAAAAAGATTGACTTAATCCTTAATTAGTCTTCAATTATGAATTACGGTCGAATTTTGACCAATAAGCGACTACTAGTTTATGGGCGTTGCAAAGGGGCGGGGCGGAGTATTAGGTGCCGCCCCTAAGACAATAAAAAATATAAAATAGATATAAAAACACTACATTTATGGTAGCTCTCCTAGATCTAACCTAGGTCATCGGCTGGCGATGCGTTAGTCAAATTAAATATATTATAATGTCTACAATTCATGTAAATTCACATATACTCGTAAATCACAAATTTAAAGGGGAAGATTCTGATAATAGAGATAAATATACTATTCTAAAACATATTAACTAAGTAATGTGATGTATCCTATCTTATCAAACAAGATTTGTCACTTCAACTTGTCAATTACATGATCATTTGACAAACAAGATATCTTCAGATAAGATTAAACAGAACATATGTGGTTTTTTTTAATATAATTTGATAAATGACCAAGAGGCCACTTGAATCCAGTCCAGACAGGCATAATTACAGATTTGCCCACCTTTAATGTACAGAGAATGGGACGCACAGAAATATTTTTTTCTCTACACATAGGTAGAGAATGCATAGTAGTAACTAGCAAATCTGCTTGTGAATTGTTAAAAAAAATATTAAAAATGTATTTTAATCACTTGTGTTGGCTTTGTCATGTCATTTTACTAGTAATAAAGAAGTATCTCACCAGCTAAGGCAGAACAATTATCTCCGGTGAATGCCACCACTTTGCAATCCGATTTGAAGCCATACCGCTGCACATAGTAGGGAGATATGTTCCCCAACGCTGACCACGTCGGTACGGGAGCTCCTAGTTTACTCTCCAATGTGTCATCACCACATGCCTGGATATAATAGAAATTATATTTATAATGAAACTAGCTATCGCCCGTGACTCCATCCGGAAATAAAAAATAACAATACTTAGTATCTTATGTACTGGAGGTACGTTCTAACAAATATCCATCCATCCCAAACATATGCTATTATAATATAACGTAAGATGTATAAAATTATATTTAACAGTGGTAGTGCCCGCTTTAACATGTTAGCAGTGCAGGGCCGGCACGCCCCCAGTAATACCACGACCACACAGAAGACAGGCGTCAAATGGAACCAGTGCCGTGTTTCGTCTGATGAGTGTGGTGCCGGATGCCTAATTTAAGTCCCTTTCTCTTTACCACCCTTTTCTTATGAGAAGATGGGAAGGGGAAGTGGATTTGACGATGGAGGAGATGCATAGGAAGAGGAAATAACCTCTTTATGTGCGTCTCCTCCTCCGTCGGATAAGGGTAGGCGACGCATCTGCAATTGCAGATGTCTATGGGCAGCGGTCGCTTCGCCATTTTGGCGGATTCAGGTGGCCGCTTGCTCATTTGCGATCTTATGTTATAAAAAAAAATATAGAAAACCCCAATAGAGATCTCGTTTTTAGACAAATTCTTTACTTGCTTAGTAAAATTAAAATTTAATACAATTATAATAAACCTCAAAAACAAGTATACTTATGGTTTCTATCTAAATCACAAAGAACTATAATTTCCTCACCTTCAAAGCTTTTTCACACCATTTCTTAGTATGAATATCTAGGAGATTCATTCCGGAACCATCAGAGAGGTCAATCGGTGCTATCTTCCCGAGGAATAGTGAGCATGCAAAGGATGAGATCAGGGATATTCTCTCCGTAGCGTGATAGGCTCTCTCTCTTGTGCGGTACATCTTACGGATCTGAGAGCCTGTGAAACGCTCATACGCTGTTGATCCCGTTATCTTAGCTAACTCCTGGAATATTCATAATCATGTATTAGAACACACTAGTTTTTAGTTTTTGCCTGTGACTCATTAGAGCGGAATTAAAAAAATGATTAAACAGCCTATGTGGTCTTTTTTATTCTACATCTGTGCCAAATTTAGTTGAGACCATCCATCCAACCTTTCATGTTTTTAATATTGACAAGATCAAGATATACACATCGAATTTACCTAAGCTTACATAAAGAAATATTAAAAAACCATTAAAAGCAATATAAAGCTCTCTCATGTTGGAGGCCAAGAGCCACTTTGGGTCACTGCGCCAACACAGTAAGTAAGTAAGTAAATAAATAAAAGCAATATTCTTTCACAACATTCAACATTTTTCATTTCACAATATATTTTTCTCACCTCCGGCCCTCCCACAGCCTCTTCAAGAGCTCTACAATCAGTGGTAGTACTAGAATCCATCCATACGGGAGAATCAACAACAAAAGCTGTTGCCAGCTGAGTGTGCAGGAATTCATCGGATGACAGACTACTCAGTTTAGATTCTGAACCTTTAGCCCACCATACTGACCCATGTTGCTAGAAAAAAAAATTATATACAATAAGTTTGAAGTTTAAAAAACAAAATTTAGAAACTATAAACTAGAGATTAAAATTTTATAGAAGTTGTAAATATATTTTAACAAATAGGCAAGAGTATTTTAAAACCAAATACAAAAACACACACATCCTTAAGCTTGAAATAATTGAGAAAACAACATATTTATGTAACCATTTATAAACAGTAGAAAGTAATATTAAATGTTAGTGGTAACAATTTAAAGAATTCAATACCTGTGCTGCACCAGAAAGAGCTTCAATGGAAGAGAAATCAACACCAGCCACTACCAGTCGATCCATCACCATATCCAGTGCTTTGACCCATAGTAATGTAGGTGCTGTCACCTCTCCCCTCTCTCCACGCACCACTCCACCAGAAGTCCTGATAAACACAATTGGAATTTATTGTAATTATATATGGGCAGAAAATATATTATATTTTTATACCTAGCTGGGCTATTAAAATGAAGTAGTTCATCGTTTATGGTAAATATGAAATGGAGTAAAATATAAAATGATAATTGTTATATTTTAATTAAGGAAAGAATTACCTGAACTCTGGCAAATCATTGTCAAATTCAACATCTGCTTCTTGCTGCACAACATAATCTTCACCGATCACCACTGCTTTTAACTGTAGATAATTAAAGTTTTAATAATTGTTTAAAAAATAATTAGCTCCTGTAGAGATCGAAAACAATACATTTCGCACGGTCTCTATACACCATTCACTTTGTAAGAGGCCTCCGTTATAATAAAAAATAAGATTTAAAAGTTTTGTGTTCTCCCAAATAATAAATACCTTACATTATGGTATACAATTTGAAAACATAAACTTTTAAAAGTTTTGGACAATAATATAAAAAGATGGCATTAGTCATCAAAGCCTTATTAAATTAACAGTGCAGATAATTAATAAAATAAACTGAGAAGAATTGTATTGGAAACTAAATTATTCGTTAAATTAAAATCACTTACCCTTTGCGTACTAAAATCAAAACCTAAAAAAGTTTTTTTTCGCGTTTCTTCGATCATTTTTATATTTTGACAGCCGAACTTAGACGTACAACAGTTCGTTTAGAAACGAAAGAAGCACACACTAAAGTTTCGTGTTGGTTTCGTGACCAAATGCCGTATTTCAGATGTTCATGGAAGAGCGATTTCACGATATCATTTTTATATTTTTATACATTCCACCAAAAGTTCTTAATCACTTTAATTGGTCGTATGTTATATTTCGATTAAGAAGCCAAGGTCACGGTTATCTTTATAGATAGCATATTACGTATATCGGTTGTTTTACTATTTACAATAAGATACATAACTATTCGCGGCACTTTGGAAATAAACATAGGAATTTTATCAGTCATAGAGTGGCACCCTTTACCTTTCAATTTCGATATCATCACCTAATACTCGCTTATTATAAATGGGGGCCTACTAACTCTTTCTGACTTTAATTTCATTTTAATCCAGCCTGATTAACCTCGTAACTTTAAACAAAAAGAATACTAGACTTGACCAGACTTCTAGGATGGCATCTATTAAATTACCATTGTTGATTATCATGATACCATGATATTCTAATAAATAAAAATTACTTCTAACTCGCAAATAATAAGAAACACCGATATCGTCGCTTATTCTGATGTAAGTATGTTTAATCTTATTATTTTTGTAATTAAAAAATTGTTAAACTGTTAGGTTATGAATCACCTGTATAAAATAACAAACAAATGTTTGATAAATAAGTTCCCTAAATTAGTAAATGAATTTCGTTTAAAGAATTAAATAAATTCTTAAACAAAAAAACAATACTACGATAATCTGTTATTCGTAAAATTGTATTAAAAATAGTGTTTACAAAAACATGATATGCTAGATAGACAATTCGTTCTAGATTGCCTACGCTACGTGCCCATATACAATTAATTTTACGAACGGAACTTTCGATTGTGTTAAAAAAGTGGAACAAGAAACAGCGACATCGATGAAACTGGAGTAACTTTCATTTTTCATTTTTACTATGTTTTGCAGACATGTTATTTATGTTTTATTTTGATTTTGAACAGTCAAACGTTACATTTAAATATATCGCGTTAAAGGCAGCATACAAAAGAAGTGCTATGTTATTGTACACTCATTTTTAGTCTCGTTATTTTAATTAATTAACCGTTATACAAATGGTTATTAATTTTCATCAAAAATAGAAATAATTGTCTAGTTACATGACATTTCTATTCCCCGATGTACGTAGAAAGTAGTACAATTAATTAATTAAAATAATGTAGTTATTTACGTACACGACACAAAGGGATAACAAATAGCCCACTAGGTCGGCCATTTTTAAGTTTTCGGGTTATTCAGTTCAGTGACCTTTACACTGTCGCTGTCATGTCATGCCCTGTTAAACATATTGACTATATTACACAGTTATGTATGGATAGTTCTCTCTAATTAAAAGAAATGACGTCACAATATATTAATTAATAATATTAGTGCCTACATAAGAATAGTGGCATTTTTATTTTAACCATCGTTTGTCGAAATAATATGGCAGGCGCCTTTTTACGCTATAAGCTGACGATTTTATTATCACACCATTGATGCTAAGATTTCCAAACTACCTCGTATTTGGAAATCTATTGTGATT